GGTGCTACAAGAGGTCCTATGGGCTCCCATGGGTGCTACAACAGGTTCTATGGGTGCTACAAAGGGTTCTATGGGCTTCTACGGGCACTACAAGGGGTCCTATGGGTGCTACAAGGGGTCCTAAGGGTGCTGCAAGAGCTCCTATGGGCTCCTATGGGTGCTGCAAGGGCTCCTATGGGTGCCCTGGGGTGTCCTATGGGTGCTACAAGGAGTCCTATGGGCTCCTATGGGTGCTACAAGGGATTCTAGGGGTGCCACAAGGGGTTCTGTGGGCTCCTATGGGTGCTACAAGGGGTCCTATGGGCTCCTACAGGCTCTACAAGGGCTCCTATGGGTGCTGTAAAGGGTCCTGTGGGTGCTACAAGGGCTTCTAGGGGATCTTAGGGTGTCCTAGGGGGTCCTATGGGCTCCTATGGGTGCTACAAGGGGTCCTATGTGCTCCCTTGGGTGTTACAAGGGGTCCTATGGGCACTACAAGGGCTTCTATCGGTGCCCTAGAAGGTCCTATGGGCGCTACAGGGGCTCCTATGGGTACTACAAGGGGTCCTATGGGCTCCTATGGGTGCTACAAGGGGTCCTATGGGTGCTACAAGGGGTCCTATGAGCTCCTATGGGCACTACAACAGGCCCTATGGGCGCTACAAGGGATCCTATGGGCTCCTATGGGTGCTACAAGGGGTCCTATGGGTGCTACAAGGAGTCCTATGGGCTCCTATGGGTGCTACAAGGGGTCCTAAGGGTGCTCTAGGGTGTCCTAGGGGGTCGTATGGGTGCTACAAGGGCTCCTATGGGGTCCTATAGGCCCTACAAGGGGTTTTAGGAGATCTTAGGGTGGCCTAGGGGGTCCTATGGGTGCTACAAGGGGTCCTATGGGCGCTATGGGGCATTCTAGGGGGTCCTAGGGGTGCTACAAGGGCTCCTATGGGTGCTATAGGGCGTTCTAGGGAGTCCTATGGGGATCCTGGGTGGTCCCTGGAGATCCTGGTGGTCCCCAGGGGTCCTGGGGGATCTCTATGGATTTGGGAGGTCCCCGGGGGTCCCTGGGGTCCCAGCAGGTCTTAGGAGGTCCCTGGAGGTCCTGGTGGTCCCCATGGGTCCCAGGAGGTCCCCGGTGGTCCTGGGGGATCTCTATGGGTCTGGGTGGTCCCTGGAGGTCCTGGGAGGTCCCTGTGGGTCCCAGGAGGTCCCCAGGGGTCCCTATGGGTCCCAGTGGGTGTTAGAAGGGTTCCCAGGATGTCCTTAGGGATCTCCAAGGGGTTGGAGGAACCTAATGGAGCTTCCTGGAGGTTCCTGTTGGCTTCCTGGGGGCTTTGGTGGCTCCCAGGACCCCTGTGGGTCCTGGGAGGTCCCCGTGGGTCCCTTGGGTCCCAGCAGGTCCTGGGAGGTCCCTGGAGGTCCTGGTGGTCCCGGGAGGTCCCCGGGGGTCCCCGGGGTCCCAGCAGGTCCTGGGAGGTCCCTGTGGGTCCTGGTGGTCCCGGGAGGTCCCCGCGTGTCCCAGGAGGTCCCCGTGGTCCCCGTGGTCCCAGCAGGTCCTGGGAGGTCCCTGTAGGTCCCTGGGGTCCCAGCAGGTCCTGGGTGGTCCCGGGAGGTCCCCGTGGGTCCTGGAAGGTCCCCGTGGATCCCTTGGGTCCCAGCAGGTCCCGGGAGGTCCCCATGGGTCCCAGAAGGTCCCCGTGGTCCCTGGAGGTCCCTCTGGGTCCCGGGAGGTCCCCGTGGGTCCCAGCAGGTCCCCGTGGGTCCTGGTGGTCCCCGTGGGTCCCTTGGGTCCCAGCAGGTCCCGGGAGGTCCCCGTGGATCCGAGAAGGTCTCCGTGGGTCCTGGTGGTCCCTGTGGGTCCCGGGAGGTCCCCGTGGGTCCTGGTGGTCCCAGAAGGTCCCCGTGGGTCCTGGTGGTCCCCGTGGGTCCCCGTGGGTCCCAGCGGGTCCCGGGGGGTCCCCGGGGGCCCCGGGGGG